GGAGGGACCCTGGCTCCTGAGGAAACTGCTGAAATGCCCTGTCCCTGCGGCTTCCCCGTCTGGCCCTTGGTTCCGGCTGAGTTTCGGAGCCCTTCGCTAATCGCCTGGGAACAGAAATGCAGACGGCTGCCAAGGGCAGAGAGGCACCGATGCCGCAAGCTCAGGAAGGGAGGGCTTGGTGGCAGCCTCGGGGGAAGAGGAACCAGCAGGAGCAGGGCGGAGGCCCGGGGTGCAGGGGTGCTCCCGCGAGCCAGCGGTGTGTCCCAGCTGGAACAGAAGGGTCTAGTGACGAAGGATGGAAACGACGCTGCTTGGGAGGGGGAGAGAGACCAGATCAGCAAAGGCCTTGGGTGCCAGGCTAGGAATCCAAGCGCCGACGCTGAACGGGGCGTGCTCGCATCCCGTACACGAAGGATGGGGTGGGGGGTGTTAGGAGGGAAGGTCAGCCAGACGGGGGCGGGCGCAAAGCTCCTGTAGCAGAGCGCAGAGCGGGGAACACGGTCCGAGTGGGGCCGAGCTGGCCGCTAGGATGGCAGTGGGACTAATAAGCTCGAGAGGACGGGATGAGCGGCCCGTCTCCGGCTGGGCCGTGTGTCGAGGCGGCTGTATGTGCTTCCAGTGTTTCACCGTCGCTGGGGGCTCTGGCGGGGGGGGGGGTATGAAGAGCGTCACCGAGAAACCTGGGCTGGGGTTTCTGGGAACACTCGGGCTGGAAATGACAGAGACTTGTGGTGGGTACGGACAAGGTGACAGAGAGCTTTGTGGAGGAAAGAGCCCTGGGGCACAGCACAGTCTCCCAGGAAGACCCAAGAAAAGGAGGCCTCATAGGGGAACTAAGAAACAGCCAGAGATGGAAGGACTGTCCTGGGGTTCAAGGAAGGGGCCAAGGACATGCCCCCCCCCAAGGATGCAAATAATTTGATATAGCCTTGGCTATCTATCTCCATGTCACTCTTGGTATGAATGCCCACCTCCCTGTCATCTGAACCTCCAGGCAACAGCAAGTGGCACCTCTGGGGCTGGCATCTCTGACCCGGTGAGCTCTGGAAATTTCTCTGGCAAGCCCCTCTCCTTCTGCCCAGGCTCCGCCCTCCAGCAGGCTCCCACACTGCCCGTCCTATGCTCCATCAGGGGCTGGGCCAGTGCTTAGTTCCCACAGCACGACTACGTCCAGCCTGTAACTGTGACAGTCTTCCTGAGGGCAGGGCCGCCAGCTGGGATGCGCGCGCGGACAACGCTCCTGCGGGAGGCCGGGGCCTAGACAACCCCCCACCCCCAGGCTCCGGAGCCTCTCTGTGCCCTGTGACTCTTTCACATCAGTGAGGTCTTGCACCATGGCCAGGCGCTGCTCTGTGTCGCAGTCCCGGCTGGCATCAGCCAGGGGACACGGTGCTGTGTGGGGCCGGATGGCACCATGTGAGCTCACCTGAATGACAGCGTGTAGGACTTCAGAATGGTGCCGTCGGGCTTTCGGCCTTGGCGGGGCCCCTGCAGGGTCCGTGCGTGGGTCCCCATACATCCATGCTCTCCAGAGTGGCACTGGCGGGACGAACGGTGTGCTCCTAAAACTACCTACGGCAGTGAGGCCCCCGCTCACTTGTTTAACCATTTAGTTCTTGGGTGATGGGAACCCCTCCGATTCCACATCCCCTGTTGGATTGTCATTTCAGTTTGGCTTTTTAAGGTGAAGTCCACAGAACAAGGGAGTAAATGAGTTTAAAACTCACAGTGCAAGCTCTACCTCGATAAAGCTGTTATTTAAAGAAAAAAGATGTGACGACTCTTCAACTTGGGGGAGTGCTTACTTTGGGGTAGGAAGCAACTGTAGGAGGAAAGAGAGAAGTCAGGAGCCTAGGGGAAAGAGCAGCAGAAAGTAGATGTGTGTGGGGGACCTCGGGCTGCTTCCCCCACCTCAGTCAAGGGGGCCCGTTTCTGCCCGGACTCAGGGCACACCTGCCTGGTGTTGAACATTTTGAGGATGGAGTCTTCGCGAAGTCACTCAACAAAGGCGGCCGAGGGACTGAGGTGGCCCTGATCCCTTGGCAGCCCGTGTAAGCAACTGAAGCCAGAGCCGAGGCGCTCGAATCCCAGAAAAGGAAACTTGAGAACCAGCCATCCTAAACAGCCCAGTAGGCCTTCCCAAATAAGACGGCTGCTTCAGTTAGAGCCTGTTACATAGGGTCTGAGCTGGGCTTCCGGGTCTGCTAGCCGGCGTCCCTGGGGCCCCTCGCACTACTTTCAAGCTGGTGCTGCCCCACTGCACTGGAGTGTATGCCCAAAGGCATCTTCACAGTTCGTGAAACATTTTAACGTGCCTCAGTTTACCTCGTACCAGGCGTTAAATAGGGGGATGGTAGAGAGTGCCAGAAGCTCGTGCCAGGTGGCTAGGCGGGAGAGCACCTGGGCCTGTGTTTGGAGTGGTTCTTGTGGACGAGGCACGAGTGCGCATGGGGGCTTCTGGCCCAACATGTCAGGCTCGAAGCCCCCCCCCCCCCGCCACTGCCCACCAGCATAGCTCACTTTTACCTTTTACATGTTCAATTTTATTGAAGAAAAGCTCTGTTCCCAAAAAGTTGAAAAGCCACGCTGGGTACCTTGAACACGGGTTGGCTTCATACAGGCATCCCTCGCGTTATTGGACTTCATTACACACGGAAGGGTTGCAGCAATCCTGTGCCCAGCAGGTCTGTCGGCGCCATTTTTCCCAAAGTACTTGCCTGTTTCGTGTCTGTCACATTTTGGTAATTCTTACAACATTTCAACCTGTTCCGTTATTCTGTGTGTCATGGTGATCAGTGCTTTGGGGTGCCCCAAACCGCACATATGTAAGATGGCAAACTTAACTAATACATGCTGTATGTGGTCTGCCTGCTCCCCAGACTGGCCATTCCCCCCACCCCCATCTTCCTCCCTCGGGCCTCCCTATTCCCTGAGACACCAAAGTATTGAAATCAGGCCAATTACTAACCCTACAATGGCCTCTAAGTGTTCAAGGGGAAGGAAGAGTGACGCGTCTCTCACTTTCAACCAAAAGCTAGAAGTGACCAAGCTTAGTGAGGAAGGTAGGTCGAGAGCCCAGATAGGCCGAAAGCTAGGCTTCTTGTGCCAAACAGCCAAGGAGTGAATGCACAGGAAAGTTCTTAAAGGAAATGAAAGGTGTTAGTCCAGTGAACACACAAGTGATAAGAGACAGTTGTAGTGCTCTGGACAGAAGGGCAAACCAGCTGGAACATTCCTTTAAGTCAAAGCCTAATGCACAGCAAGGCCCTAACTCTCTTCAGTTCTGTGAAGGCTGAGAGGTGAAGAAGCTGCAGAAGGAAAGTCTGAAGCTAGCAGAGGTTGGTTCATAAGGTTTAAGGAAAGAAGCCGACTCCATAACATCAGAGTGCAAAGTGAAGCAGCACATGCTGATGGAGAAGCTGCAGCAAGTGATCCAGAGGATCCGGCTCAAGTGACTGGCAGACAACAGATTTCCCATGTAGAAGAAACAGCCTTCTACTGGAAGAAGATGCCCCTTAGGACTTTCACAGCTAGAGAGAAGAAGTCAATGCCTGGTTTTAAAGTTGCAAAGGGCAGGCTGAGTCTCTTGTTAGCAGCTGGTGCCTAAAAGGGCTACTGATAAAGCAGTAGTGCCAGTACTGGAGAGGATTACGTCCATTTCGGAAAGAAGTTCTCTGGGTAAAGTGCCCTCAACCAGCACGGCGTGCTGCAGGGAAATCCTGAGTGAAGGGAAGAGTCAGCAATGCAACGAACTTCATTGCTGATCAGCCAGCAGCCAGCATCAAGCCCAGACCCTCCACCAGCTGGAAGACTGACTCACTCAAAGCTCAGATGATGGTTAGCAGTTTTTAGCAATAAAGTATATTTTCTTGAAGGTCGGGACCTTGTCTTTTCTGGACCTAATGCTCTTGCACACTTAACAGACTACAGTATAATGAGAACTTTGCACTGGGAAACCCCAAAATTAATTTGACTCGCTTTCTTGTGATGGTCTGGAACCAAACCGCAGTATCTCGGAGGTATGACTGGACCTTCAAGGGAACCATGGAGCAGACCTGCCTTGGAGCATGTTAGGAAGTCGGAGGTGACCGGGGAGCCCTGACGACAGCTGGGGCAGACGTGCTCCCAACAGAAAGCTCCGTGAGCCCTGTCCACCCGGGACAGCGGAGCTGCCCTTGGTTCACCAGCAGGCCTGGTGCTCACCGGTCCCTGATGCGAAGCTGCTGCTGGGCGGCGCGCTCAGGAAGCGCCTGTGAAGGCCTCAGGCCGCCAGGCCAGGAATGGTCCGCAGGGGGCGCTCTCCACAGGCCTGCCCTGCGGAGCCCTGACCACCGCTAGAAGGCAATGTTCACGTCTTTGTGGAGTTACTAAGAAGAAAGGATTCCTTTGAAGGGTGGGTAAGAAAACCCAGCCTAGTCTGGAGCAGCCCATCCATAAGCGCAGGGGCAACAGGGAGTGAGAAACGGCTGAAATCGGTTTCTTTGAATGTCTTTAGAAATGCAAACGCTTCTGTAAGTATGAATGCCCTTGCAATAAAAGCAAAAGCACTGACCCGACTTCAGCCGGGGCGGCCGGGGGCGGCCTGTGTGAGCCCGCCCCCCAGGCGGACCTGAGACCCTCCAGCTCTTCCTTGCAGTACGGAAAGTGAGACTGAGTCTGCAGGTCTTCAGCACCGCCTGAAAAAAACAAAAGCCAAATTAGATTTCCAGCGTGTCGCCCACAAGCTCTGTGGGTGCATGTTCTGAAAATATGAGTACCATGACATGCCGTTTTTGGAACAGCCTTTCCACGTTCTGTGCACACTGGCAGTCAAGGCAGGTTAGGAAGTAAAGCGAAGCCAGAGGATGCCATTCTTCCTGAGGCTGGCCATGGCCCCGTGTGCGGAACAGGATGAAGAGCGGCCGTGTGCGCAGAGCTGCTGTGAATCTTCCAGACGAGAAACGGGAGAGGGAGATGGGAATTGTATCTGACACTGTGCCTTCAGCTTGTGTTCAGACTGCAACCTAATGCGTTCAGTGATTTCTCGGGACTGGGAAACCAGGGAAGTTCCTTTTGAGAAAGGGCTTCCTGTTGCACTTGTAACTGTACCACGCACACGTCGTATAGAGTAAAGGCCCGTGAAAGCAGCCCGCCACTCGGCACGGTAAGTATGGGAAAGAGCGGCAGGGAGGCAACCACCACGACTTCGCTCTGCAACCTTGGACCAGGGAGATCACGGCTGGGGGAGCCAGCTCCTGAGAGGGGGACCTGCACAAAGTCCCTGAGGTGGCTTTGGGCAGTCACATTCTCCATCGTGCAGCTCTAGAGAGCATGATGGCCCCGGCCCAGCCCTCGCTTCTCCTCTCCCTTGTCACTTTGCCAGTCGCTCTGGTGGCCCAGGCGGTGCCGGGAATGCAGGCCACGGGTTCGGTGTCCAGCCAGAGCTGTGGAAGCATTTTGTCCCCAGGTGCTGCACCCTGCCCCCCTTGGTGATGATTCTTTCTCCTTCTCGGCTCAGTTCGTGTTCCTCACCTACGTGCTGGGAGTGGCCTGGCTGGGCGTGTTTGGCTTCTCCGCCGTGCCCGTGTTTATGTTCTACAACATCTGGTCAACTTGTGAGGTCATCAAGTCACCCCAGACCAACGGCACGGCCGCTGTGGAGCAGATCTGCGTGGATATCCGACAATATGGTACCGTCTCCTTTCATTGCCCCGCTGAACCTCTACCCTCTTGGTGCAGTTGTCTGCACCTTAGCGATTACATGGGTGGCTTTTTTAATCATTGTGATCGCTGTCATACGTTCTTCTGTTGGAATAGTACATACTCTTAACGTATGCTCTGTTTTCTGGAGGGAAAGATCACTTAGGCTCTTAGTTGTAATGCAAATTTTGGTTGCATTTTCAAGTATGTAGTAAAGGAAACTTTCTGTACTGTATTATTATCAAGGAGCAGTGCATTATAACCAGACTTCTGGACATCAAAAGATTACAGATTTTTTTTTCAATTTCTTTTCAGTTTTGTACCATTCAACTCTTTATCCAAAATATTGTATATACACTGTAGTCCAATTAATTTCCATGTCCCACTCTTCAAATCCGGTCTTTTAAAATGACCAACTGCTTAAACTTCATCTGTCCTGGAAACCACAACAAAATCCAGACATATTTTAAAGTCATCAGACTGAACTCTATAAAAGCCGACTGTTGGAAACCCCTTCAAACCTATTTTCTAATGAATGGGATACTCGCAATAGGCAGCTAACGTTGGTTCATTTTGACAAGCCACAGAAGGGGCCATTGCTCCTCCTGCCAATTAAACGGAGAGGCAGCCTCCTAAGTAAGGAGTTTAATGAGTGCTTCTCGCCAAGATGCTAGGGAATCGTGTTCCTGGCAGAAACAGCGAGGCGGGGGGTGGAAAGAACTTTTCATTAAAATTAAAGACAAGATTTCTCGGGAGAGAGGACTATTTCATTTGTGATTCTTGTTTTTCCCATGTGGCTTGGCTTCAACGTCTTCTCTTACAACCTAATGAGAGACTTGGACTGCCCATTGGAGTACTGTTTTCTCATAAAGAGCAAGATTCAGCCTCACTGGTGGTTTGAAAACAGAGCCTAAAGATGATTTTTTAAAGTATTTGTAAATATCTAGATGTATATAATTTCCTTATTAAATATTTTCACTAAACACTTTTGGCTATCAGTGATCCTAGTTTTAAGTGTTCTATATTTGAAATCACTAGTTTCACTGACCCCATGAGGACTTGTCATTTCCCATTCTCCTAAAGCATCTCTTGGCCCATGTAAGGGATAAGGGACTTTTTTTAAGATTGATTTATTTATTTGGCAGAGAGAGGGAGGCACAGTGAGAAACAGGCTTCCTGCCGAGCAGGGAGCCCGATGCGGGGTTCGATCCCAGGACCCTGGGATCATGACCTGAGCTGAAGGCAGACGCCCAACGACTGAGCCACCCAGGCGCCCCGGGGATAAGGGACTTTTTAAAGAAAGCCTTCCTTACCTCCGGGGAGAAGAGTAACTCGAGCTGTGTTTAATCTTTAAAAGCACACACCTACTACATGGTGACACGGAGAACAGCAACCCGGTGGGCCATGGCGTGGTAGAGAGGAGTCAGGGTTCCAGTGGGAGACACGGGGTAGGGGGGATGGACTCCACAGTGTTTCCCTTTTTAAATTTCCAATTGGATTTTCAATCCCAATGAAAATGAATATAAAAGACCTACAAAATCCAAATTACCTCTAGACTCCCCAGTTCGGGACTTTAGTAGGAAGTCCACAGACTGGGAAATGCTGTAGGGGGGTGGGGGTTCTACACCTTTAATTTTTACAAATAGGAGGTCAACTAAAGCGAGCACAATTGGTAGGGAAAACAAATCCGGTCTTAAGGCTCTTATGGACTAGTTGACTTTGCTCTCGTGCTGCTAAGGAGGACTTCTTACTGATTCTAAACAGCCTGGTCTGCAGAGGGCAGGGCTGTCAAGTGTGGATGAGGACCAGTGAGAGCACGGGGCACTGTGGGGGCCGCTGATAACTAACATTCTGTTGGGATTCACTTCACAGGTATCATTCCTTGGAATGCTTTCCCTGGGAGAATCTGTGGCTCCGCCCTTGAGAACATCTGCAACACCAATGAGGTAAATAAACCCTTCGCCTGTCAGGGCCTGGACACGGTCCCCTAGCAAAGCAGGCTGAGGAAAGGGCCCTCTGAGGTAGAAAGAACAGGAGATGGTGCAAATGCTAGTAAGGGAAGCTTTTCTTTGCAGACTTTTTAGATCAAACAGTCTGTCTTTACCCCCATTCATGCATTTTTTACCTAGAAAATGCCCCCTTTCCCATGGTCCAGCCGGTTCAGTGAGGATCCTTAGCACTCAGAGAGCTTTCTCCTTGGGCGATAATTTGAGAGTGGTCCTAGTCTCATCCATCTGAAAATACATGTAGATTCTTTTTCACCTTCACATAGCTTTTCAAAGTAGGACATTCATCACAGAACAAATGCAGGTTCATTTTCATGGAAAAGATCCCCTTGAATTTGTATAGAAGCCCAGTTTCTCTAAATCTAATCACAGTTGATCACTGCTTCACTCTTAACTAGCAGAATATCCTAACCCACTTTGGTTTGAAATCAGACCTTGGACTATTCTTTAGGCATTGGTTTGTAACTGTTCATAAAAGAACATTTTTTTTAAGTGCACTAGTGGGAGCTTGCATACTTAAGAGAATCCGAGCCTGCTTTGGGAAAGCAGTGAGTTACTGAAATGTCAGCCAGTTTGCGTATCCGTACCAGGGCCTGGTTCCAAGCAGGGGCTCCCAAAGGTGACGGCACAGAGCAGTCAGCGAGGAGAATTATCCTCACGGCGGAGGCCTGGCTACTGCCGCTTACTTGGTCACGGGTCCAGCCCGGGCATCAGGAAGCTTTAGAAGTGCCCCCGTCAGGGGCAGGCGGTGGGCAGCTGGGGCGTGCACACAGGACGGGGGGACGCCCGTTCCTTCCACAGCCAACGCTCACCTGTGCCCTGTTCTTCTCTAGTTCTACATGTCCTACCACCTGTTCATCGTGGCCTGCGCCGGAGCTGGTGCCACTGTCGTCGCCCTGGTGAGTAGCAACGGCCCCGGGCCCGGCCTAGCGCAGCTCCCCGCTCGAGGCTCCAGCGCCAGATTTGCCTTCCGGCCATACCGTCCGGAGCGCAGCCCTGGCTCCATCTGGGCTGGAGCGCAGGCAGTCCCGGTTGCCTGTCTGGGCCCGGAGGGATCTGGATTCTGTGGGAAGAAGAGAGGGCAGCTGAAGCTGGGCCGCCCGTTACCCAGGCCTGGCCTAGGCCAGGGGTGCATATTCCGCCCTGACTTGCAGGACTTGGGTCACTGACAGCTACTCGTGGGAGGCATTACCCATTTCTTTGGCAAGAAATCTTAATTTCCAAGTGGAAATATGTACTTATACACCTACATACCTCTACGGTTGAGCTTGTTCTATAAAGCCTCCTGCAACCCTGAGCCACTGTTTCTAGAGGGAAACACAGGGTTCATTTTCTGCCAGCGCCTGGTCACACCATTTGTTGTCAAACGGAACAACACCTAACCTTGCTTCATGTGGTTTTGTTCAAAGACATCGTATTGAGTAGAGACCACAGCTGTATTAACAGTGAACTCCCGGTCTCAGCACTGTAGCAGCTCCAACCTGAATGAAGCCCCGTGGCCCCTCCGAGCCTTCTTGCTCTCTGGAGGCTGTCGAGAGCCCTTCATTCAGCACTACGGTTAGGAAACATCACAAAACGCCGTAGCACTAACTAGCCCGCACCAAGGCTGCTCGGCTACAGTCCGAGACAAGCAAGCAGCGTGGTGCCTTGGTTGACCGCAGCTGGGAGACTAAACCTCTGCCCCACTCTGCGTGTCCCCCAGTGACCATGGCCGTGCCATAAGCAGTGATGGTCGCACGAAGGGAAATGGGCGCACAGGGAAGCCACAGCTAACAAGGAGCACCTGTAAAGGGCCCTGGGATTCTGTGGGCCTCCGCGTGTACAGCTAGAAGTCGGGAGGGCTCGGTTTGGGATTTCGAGAGCTCTAGGATTGGCAGACCCAGAGGGAAATGGCATGAGCTTGGAAGAGAGTTCCTCCTTACTAGGCCCTGCAGAGAACGGCCCGTGCCATGCCGGCGGCGACCTGTGTGCTTGCTGAGCTAGGGGCCGGCCGAGGAGGCAGGCTGGGGCAGACCAGGGGACACGGGGCCTGGAGCTTCATGGCTCAGGCTGCTGCCCCGGCGCTCTGATTCTTTCAACACCTCCAAGTCTTCGTAATAAACGGCCTGAGGGCAGAGGCCAGGATTAGCAGCGTGTACGTGAAGTGAGAGGAAGTCGGTGTGCTACATAGGAACCCCTTCCGGGTGATAATAAACGGGAAAGCAGCCACGCTGGGGGGACTGCCTGTATCTTACTGTCGTGTTCTGTTCTCTTCCACCAGCTGATCTACATGATGGCTACTACCTATAACTATGCCGTCTTGAAGTTTAAGAGTCGGGAAGATTGCTGCACTAAATTCTAAATTGCTTAAGGCCAACAAGGAGCTGTAGGGAGCTCTCCTCGGTAGCCTGAAATCTCCCTGACGCCCCAGACTAAAGCCGAGTCTAGGTTGCTGCAGTTTGGTGACAGTAATTTGTAAATAGCTTTAGTCTACTCATTTTGCATTGTAGCCTAATTAGATGCCTTACCCTGAGTGAATTACAAAATGATGAGATCTGGCTATTTCCACGTTGTGAAAAGAATTCAGTTATGTACTGACCTTGGTGAGCATCCGTTAAAAAAAAATAATTCTCTTGAACTTTGAGCAGTTTCTCTAAATGAAGTGTTAAAACTTTGTAATACCTGCCTTGTCCGTTATTGTTGCTTGCTTGATAACCAATACCAGTGCTGGAGAGATGGCAGAGAGATGCGTTTTCATCTGGATTTTTTTTGTTTTCTTAGACTCTGGAAAAAAGGCAAACAAACATATTTTAAATTTGACTAAAACTTTTTTTTCTGATTACATGGCTCACTACCAAATACATGCCCCTCCAATTAGCCTGCCAGCTAGAGGACAATGTGAAGAATAAAGGGCACCCCGTTACCTTCTGTGAGACCAGGATCTGTACGTGGGGTGTGTGTTCTCTCTGCACCACCCAGTCACCCCTTACCTGGTGGTGTTGTGTTCCCGGTGCGGAGCCCCTGATTCCTCATAGCCAGGTCTCACACCGCACATCAGATTCATTGTGCCTGGATCTGAAAGTCTCAAATACGTTGAAAAGGAAATAGGAGGAACTGGAGATGTAGATTTTGGAGGAAAATGAGTGGGCAAGAAGTGTTGGCCGCCCCCACTGTAAAGAAGAAGGATTTGTACATTTGGGACCTGCACTCATGGCAGTCTTAGAACGAAAACTGGAGGTGCGCCCCTAAGCACATGCTCACACAGATTGCAGGCTGTGCTTAGAGGTCTTAATTTTCCCATGTTAACTGTGTAGTTGATGAGTTACTCAAAATAAGTATCATTCACTTGTAGGCCTTTGGGGAACTGATTTTTATCCACAGAGAGGGAAGACCTTTGCCCCGCACTGATTTTAAAATAAGCACACCAGGTGTTTCCGAACGTCTATGTTAGTTGTTAAAATTACTCCCAAAATGGGGGGGGGGGGAGTAAAAACCACTCTCTCCTATTTCATTTTTGCTTTTTCTTAACAATAACTTTGGCCATTTTTTTCAGTTCATCGTGTTTGTATACTAACTTTTCTTCAGCCTCTTACTCTTAAGCATACTAGTGGAGCATGCTTCCAGAATCTGATGGCTCTGACAGCAGAATGAGAATTAATACAGAATAACCCTCTCCCTTTTGATAGTAAAAACCGTCTAATCTGCCTAGCAGCTTGCTTTGCCTTCTGACATGCTCACTAGCCATCATGCTCACCCTTCTTTTCCAGATCCACTTCCTCATGATACTGTCTTCTAACTGGGCTTACTTAAAGGATGCAAGCAAAATGCAGGCTTACCAGGATATCAAAGCAAAGGAAGAACAGGAACTGCAAGATATTCAGTCTCGGTCAAAAGAACAACTCAATTCGTACACATAAATGTTTGCCAGAGTGTTACGGCCGACGAATTGACCGCTCTGCCCACTCCTGAGACAGCTGCCCTGCAGTACAGATGTGTACCCCACCAAACAAGCTAAACACTTCCCTGTCCGGCTCGAGCTGCTGGGGTGTATTTCCAGGAACACCTTCCAGCAGGTCAAGCTTTTTCTTTAGAGCAGATATTGGAGGTTTCATGTTAGCCATTTTAAAAGGCAACACTTTGAGAAAAGGATGGTTGATCTTTCTGAAATTGGTGGCATGTTCAGGTTTATCGGTAGAGCGATCCTACCAGGAGAGGCGACGGGGAGCTGGCCTATTCCTTGAGAGGGACCGAGGCTGTGCCGGCATCAAGGAACGTGACCATCAATTCACATACGCCATCTGTCCTGCAGTCACTTTACCCATATAGGGAATAAAATGGAATTGGGCTGGGGGGCGTTCCATTTCTGATAGCTGACATTTATTAAACTTAGGCTCAAAGATAATGTGATTCTTAACAATTGACTTTTTAAAATTAGCTGCCTTCCCTACCCCTTGAGTCCAGGCCACATTAATTTCCTGATCCAATTAGAAATTTTTCAATAATGCTAGAAGGAACTACTATAATTCTGCTACACGTGCCACTGAAGAAGCTGGATTCGGACTCCTTGACAAGCTTTCCAAAATCAATTTCCTAATAGATTTCCTTTAAATAAAATGGCCCAGTCGTCATTCTTCCTGGGAAATAAATGTCAGCTCTGCCTTAATGAGTATTTGTTTTAAATCTCTAAGAACTTATTTTACAACAGGAGAGCCAAATCCTTCATAGACTTTTGTTCCACCAAGGTTTTTCTTAATTAAGAAGTGTTACCTTATTAAAATGACCACCATTCTAAACCATTTTTATGTGGTCTGAATAGCAAGTTTACAGTTTCGTACCAACGATCTAAAACCTAATTACAAATAGACCGCAGACCTCCTCCTTTTATAGACTTGAATACTTAAGTAATTTCAATTAGGGTTGGTATTTATTTCATTTTTTAAATCTTTCCTGGAATAATAAAAGTCGGACGTTCAGCAAAAAAACACCTGCTTGAGTTTAAGCCATTTTCAAAAGAAACTTGCCTTCTAAAGCATTGTGTTCCAGAACATTAAGTGATTATAGGTATTGGGTATTAGTGACGGTAAGCTTTGTGTTGTTCTTTATGAAATGATACATATAACTGTCGGGTGCATCAGTGCTTTTTAAAAGGGGCTGCATAATATAGGGTTAACCATGTATATTCGTGTTAAGAAGTAACTTGTGGTTTGGCTGTTTCCTGGATTTTAAAACATATACATGTGCAGAAATGTATTAAAATGAAAGGAAGCATACCTTTATCAAGATGCTATTAAAATTGAACTTCAAGTATAATATTTCATTTGGATTCTTTTTGTTGTTGTTAATGCCTAAAAATGCCTATTTGGATCTTGACCTTTTTTTTTTTTTTTCAATTGGGAGAAGCTCTCTTTTGTGTAGAACAGTTGTTCCAGAATAGCTTGTTTTGTTTTCCTGTTGCATGACAGACTTAAATTTTTTTTTTCCAGCAGTGGAGGTGCTGTTAGAGTCCAGTGTTCTAGAACAGGCAGTGTCTCAAGCCTAATTTTACTTTTCTAATTCTGGTAGCTATTACCAGGAATTTTTGAAAGTTTTGTTTAAGTAGTCTAATATTTTTTATGTAAAGAGCATTAAATTTTGCTATGTATAAATTTTTGTAACCTAACAGTGAATCAATATTTTCTATCAGTGCCAAGGGCTTCCTGTAGTTCTATTCAAGTGTTACAATAAATATTTGTAGATAATAGTCAATACTTGTGTATGCTTATTTTAAAGAGCTATTTAGGTGGAAATAGTTGTGGATGTACTAAGAGAAATGCAATAAAAGTATAGCTTCACTCACTTGCCTTTTTACCATACATAAATACTATCTTCCTCTGTCTCTAGTATGGTGTCATTTTGCAATAGTACGCATTATCAAGATTTCACATGTGTTTGGAAATCGTGTTTACAGGGGGATGCTACCACCATCTCTATAGTTCTGTGAAGTATAGAAATTTTCTGACTAGCGTCCACAAATGAAAGCAATTATACCTATGGGATTAACACAAAGCTTAAGTGTGGGGAAAGAAAAAACGATGTCGAACCTTCCGAAGGGTCCATGTACCCCTGGCTCCTTTACAAACCCAAGGTAGAAAAGATCTAGCTCCTAAAAACAAAACTCTAGATCTAACAGCTCTCTAAAGCAGCAGAGCTAAGTTTGTTACTTAGGATTTCATTTTACTATCAGTTTACTTATCTGTTAGCACAATTATGCACTGGGATTTTCGTCATCTGAACTTCCTGAGTAAGGACCAGCTCTTGTCACTTACTGAGACACTGCCGTTTTCTCAACGAGGTGCCACCTCGGGATCCTCGCCCTTCCTTCACCCTCGGCAGGAAAAAATCAGGACCCCAATTAGTATGCTCTTTGTCCCACTACTTTAATACCTTCTGTTTTTGTAGCATTTTGTGCAGTTAAGTTACATAACAAACTGTGTAAATCCTGTCTAGATGAGATCATAACCAACAGCCACCCAGGCGCCCCACATGCAGTCTCTGAATAATTGACAGTGATCCTGCCACAGAGTACAGGAACCTCTAGAGGGTGCAGTAGCAATTTTTCATTTCTCTAACTCGGCCTTGTGAAACTCGACTTTCAAATTGGTAAAGAGATGAAAATAAAGTCACAATTTAAGTCCATTACAAAATGACAACTAAAGATTCCACAATAAAAAGCTTGAAAAAAAATCCTTTCAGGGCTTTTTAATGCTAGGATAGTCCTACTTTTAGAAGATTTAAAAGAAACGATCCCTTTGTTAGTATCTTCTCCTAAAGCACGACCTCTTTCTCTAGTCAGTGCAGGGTTCATCTGTTCTCAGATGTTTGTGCAAAATTTCAAAATGAGTGTTAGGATGAATAAAATTACAGAAAGTTTTGAGGAAACAAAAATACAAAAAAGTCAGGTTGGCCCAAGAACATCCTTTTTCCAACCTGTCCCCCAGCCTTCCTCACTGTTTTGATATTTGAACTTGACCCACCTGGGGAAGATTTGAACAAAGATGCATTCAGGGGGTCTTGTCCAGGTGGGAGCGGGCAGGGGAGTTCTCACATGACACATCACACATCCATAGCCCTTCTAGAGGATGCAGCCATCTGAAAAGGTATATAAGAAATGTCTTCTCTTTAAATGGGATTGGTCCTGATGTGGAATATTAAGAATGCTGCTTAGAATTTAAGTTGACTGAAAAATCAAGCTATAAAACAAGTATGCAATGAGTTACTTATACAAGGTCTTTGAAAATACAAGGGGGGGGAAACTGAGTCACATCAAAACGTGTTAAGAAATTAGCTGAGGGTTCTGGCCCAAGATGGTGACACAGGAGGCCCCTGAACTCCTCCCCAGAATACAGCAAATGTGCCACTACACCCAGATTAATTTTTGATGCAAAAAATCCAACTAGCTGAGCTACTCTTACACATTTGGCAATCAAAAAAATATACACACTGAAATGGGCAGGAAAAGCTGAGCCAAGTCCTCACCATAAACCCCAACCCCAACACGATGCCACAAAATCAGCTGGAAGCTGCCAACTGCAAGGTTCTCCCTGAACGTTTAGACCCCACATTTAGCACCTCAACTTTTAAAACTGAGAGATGGGTCCCTAAAACAGCTTTTTTTTTTTAAAAGATATTATTTATTTATTTGGGAGAGAGACAGAGACCGAGAGAGCACAAGCAGGGGGAGAGGCAGAGAGAAGGAGAAGCAGACTCCCTGCTGAGCTGGGAGCCAGACAGGGGCTCGATCCCAGGACCTGGAGATCATGACCTGAGCCAAAGGCAGACACTTAACCATCTGAGCCATCCAGGTCCCCAAAAAAACCTAATTCTTAAAGCCAGTAGGGCTTGTATCCACGAGACCAGACCCTGAAAACTAACAAAGAAATGGTGCTTAACCAGCCCTAGAGGTCTAGCTCCTGATCTTTCCCCGAAAAGGATCTGGTTGCATATATTAAAAGCTGTTGCATCAGAGTCCAGCTTCTACACTGAGCACACCTCTAGGGGCTGCCTCCTATTGCCAGCAGAGAACAGGGAAGCCAGTGGATGCCTCCTCCATCTGCTCCCCTCTAGCCCACTCCAAAGCACCCATATCTCTCTGGAAGGTTATGCACATTGTGCCTCAGTTTTAGTAGCTGCCACCCAACATATCCCTGGAATACCTGGCTCTGAGACCCAATGCTGCTTGCATTCAGGAGTTCCACGGGACTGCAGCAAAAAAAAAAAGCAGTTTTTAATGGGCGCAGGAGCAACACTCCCCCAACTCCCCCACCTCCCCAGCCGTGGCTAAATACCTCAGCCAAGGGCGCCTGGGTGGCTCAGTTGGTTAAGCGACTGCCTTCGGCTCAGGTCATGATCCTGGAGTCCCGGGATCGAGTCCCGCATC